TCAATTTTTATTTTTATTATTTAAAAAGATCCGGAAACTGTATTAATTTGTATATATATCGGTATTTTTTTTTAAATAATTTTAAATTCTTCCTTCAAACTCTATGGACGATATATGCTGATATCTCCTTTCATTAAATATGTCCCGTGCTATTCAATTTCAAATACCAGAATTTTTGTTCGATATCAAGCGATTAAAGACAATTAGATATTAGCGAACTGTATATATCATAGTATTATTTATCATAGTAGCCACCTATAATTTTTTTTATCGGTAAAGACTTATATGTATGATGTTTCACTTGTGTCGATCATCCATCGGCTTTCAAATACTGATTTTATCATTTAACTTGACATTAAGATGATTATCACTAATCACATTTTAAAATTAATTTAACTTTGCGTATAATCCTATCGGTATTTCTCCAATTCAAACAAATGTACAATTGATAGCGGAGTGTACATGTACTTTCCTAGCATGTAATACATATTATAGAATTAAAAACGAAACGATCACAAAAATTATTTCTATTAATTTTCTTTCCTTAGCGTTTGCCATCCGGAGAAAAAGCAACCAGCGCGTTACCTATTACGTGGCGCACTGTATTTCAAAAAGATGCGAAATTAAAAGAACGTGTACATTTTTTCCACAAATCATATGATTTTCATGCTTGTGTTGTATTATATTTTTTCTAACGCATAAAACATAAATGTTACAAGATTAAACGGATCGTAAAGCGCGAGATTTAAATAGTACATATATAAACAAATAGATGGATGAATAGATAAATAGATAAAGAGAGAGAGCAAAAGAGGGAGATCGAACAATTAAAACGTCGATTTATAAGGGGACACTAGGAAGATTATGTTGACGATGATGATATGATAACGTTCTTTTTCTTTCTCCTTCTCTCTTAAATCTAAATTACCCGATTTTAACACATATATTAAAAGAATCTCTTTTAATATTCAATCAATTATGCATAATGTGCAACCAATTGAGCCTGTTAAAAATTTTATCCGCTCAGTCGTTTTGTAGATATGACCATCGCAAGACACTACCGTGTCTCTTAATATTATACTTTCGGTTAAGCTTTAACGTGCGATTATCGTACTTTCGCGAAAAACTCGACACCTGTTGTTTTACACGCGACAGCTGACCATGCGTCTCCTCATAATAACTCCTAGGCGTGTTATCATATGATTGGGCCACATAATGTTCGGTAAGGGAGGAGATCGGCTCTCGTGAGCCTGATAATGGTCAGAGTTTCGAGAACAGTGAAAAAAAGAGGTCAACCATCCTAGTTTTTGCGAACATTATCTTTTAGGCTCGAAAGGATATTTTCGCGTGTTTATATTATTCTCGAATACGTCAAAGTTAAAAATAGAAAAATAGAAAAAAGAAATATTTCTTTAAAATCTGACC